AAAAGAAAGAAAGTTCAGAATCATGGTAGTATAGGGTACACCAATCCCTAGCTGCATTTCCAATATGGTGTCTCCACTCCCTAGTTGATTTTTATTTTTAGACATAGGGTCTCCACTCCCTAGTTGATTTTTATTTTTAGACATAGGGTCTCCACTCCCTAGTTGATTTTTATTTTTAGACATAGGGTTTCCACTCCCTAGTTGATTTTATTTTATACATAGGGTCTCCACTACCTAGTCTTCTTTTCCAACATAGGGTCTCCACTACCTAGTCTTCTTTTCCAACATAGAGTCTCCACTACCTAGTTGATTTTATTTTAGACAAAAGGTCTCCACTCCCTAGTCATTTTTTTCCAACATATGGTATACACTCCCTAGTTGATGTTATTTTAGACATAGGGTCTCCACTCCCTAGTCTTTTTTCCAACATAGGGTCTCCACTCCCTAGTTGATTTTATTTTAGACATAGGGTCTTCACTCCCTAGTCTCTTTTCCAACATAGGGTCTCCATTCCCTAGTTGATTTTATTTTAGACATAGGGTCTCCACCCCCTAGTTGCTTTTCCAATATAGGGTCTCCACTCCCTAGTTGATTTTATTTTAGACATAGGGTCTCCACTCCCTAGTCTCTTTTCCAACATAGGGTCTCCACTCCCTAATTAATTTTATTTTAGATAGAGGGTCTCCACTCTCTAGTCTGTTTTCCAACATAGGGTTTCTATTCCCTAGTTGATTTTATTTTAGACATAGGGTCTCCACTCCCTAGTCATTTTTCCAACATAGGGTCTCCATTCCCTAGTTAATTTTATTTTAGACATAGGGTCTCCACTCTCTAGTCTCGTTTTCCAACATAGGGTCTTCGCTCCCTAGTTGATTTTATTTTAGACATAGGGTCTTCAATCCCTAGTTGATTTTATTTTAGACATAGGGTCTCCACTCCCTAGTCGAGTTGATCTTAAATGAAGGATATGCCATCCCAAAGAAATCATATTTTCCTAGGGTGTACCAATCCTGATCTTTCTATTACTTTCAATAATGAAGTAGTATAGAGTTTTTGTTACGAATAACATACGAAATTTTTCTAGTGAAAACTGCGGCAGAAATATTCATTAGTTTGTTTTATTTTGCTGTCTGAGAAGGTTTTACCTCGAAGGCACGGGGTTCGGGATGATCAAAAGAAGAAATCTCAACCCAAACTAAAGAAAAGAAAAGTAAATCCAAAATGCAGAAGCGGAAGAAAGGATGTGGATTGCTCAAGACATGATTGAAGTCACGAGCATTGCATGTCCCGTTTCGATCAGAAGAAGTGATAGAAGAATAAACTAGCACCTGCAGCTACCAAGCATCAAGGTTCAGGTCAGAGTCTGCGTGAGGAACTATCTAAGACTTAAGACCAAGTTTCAGAAAACTCATATATAGGAATTTTGTAACTCATAGCTGATAGGCTTATTTAGTTTCTTTTTCATTTTTGATTTTGGTGTAATAAGGAGTTCAGCAAGCAGTAGCAACAACAACAACAATAGTGAAATTACAGCTTCCCGGTAGTCCCAGCTACCAAAACTTTCAGAACTACACTGACATGATTCTTTTATAGCCAAGGATATGCAGGCAACCTCAGAAGCAAGGTTTGGTCAAACGTTTTCAAAATGCTTCTCATGGAGCATCAAACGGGCAAATATTACTCGTAATTGCTCACTTTATCTTTTCCAGAAAACTCTTCATGTTTTCGAGCAAAGAGGGGCAGATGTGAGTACGTAATTTTTGTCCTACAAAAATACTCCCACAAAATCAACAAAAAATAAAATTTTCTAATTGTTTTTGATTTTTATAGAATTTCTAGGAATTTCTTTTTAATTGTTTGTTTGCATTTAGTTGCATTTTTGTTTTGCATATTTAATAACATAAAATCATAGAAAACATCTTAAAAATGTTCAATTCTCCGTCTCATAGCATTTTAGATCTTAATTGCATGTAGGATTTAATTATATTAATTAAAGGCATATCAAACGAAAATCACAAAAAATACAATGGTCATGTTTTTATTTTTAGATTTTTAGTTTTAAATTAATAATTTTCTTTCATTAGTGTTAAGTTAATTAATTAATTAATTAATTAAATATTAGAAAATAGTAAGCAGGTCAATCTTGCTAAAAATTAGGATTGATTTGGGAATTTTAAGTGGCTACATTTGGAAATAATTTACTTTAATGTTAAGTAGGAAAAAGAAGGGAAGGCTGCCTAGTTTTAATGAGGATGGACCGGCCTCAAATGGCCCAAAATAGCCCCAGAACCACCCCAACGCAATTCCTATACCCGGTCCACACCCCCCCCCCCCCC